TTTATGATTAAATTTAGTGTATTACTCTTTGTAATAAATTATTTTTAATTAGTAAAATATAATTTTTCTACACTCTTGAATTTGGCAATTTAAGTATTATTTCCGGTATAAATCTATATAACTAGTTATGCCAGCTTTTAACTTTGTAGGCATTACTTTGTTATTGTAGACATTGTATTCTCAAGATTACCAGTAGCGCAGACCAAATAAATATTTCAAAACATGCTTTTTTAGCATTTTAGTTTATCTTCACTTGACTAATCTCTTTAACCAATGTTCGGTCTACAGAGCTAGCCAATTAACATCATTTACGCAATGAATAGTATAGATCATATTAAGTTTAATGTTCTTATTTCGCACTTTAGGAATAAATCAGTAAAGATTTTAAAAGTTTTAATCTAATTTCAAGGTTAGGTAAATTCCTTATTTAAGAAATAATGAAATTACTTTCAATATTTAAAGTAAAAATCTCAAAATCCTGAAAAATTATGATTTTAAAAAAGAAAGTGTAGTGTTTATTATAAAACAGATAATATTTCGCAAACACAAGTAAATCCTCTATAAACAAAACAAAGAAATAATATAAATCAAATGTTATTGATCATTTCCAAGGCAATAAAAGGATTTGATTGAAATGCAAACAAAAGGATAAATAAATAAAAATTGAATAAACTGAAAAGAGCAAGTAAATAATGAAAAAACAAAGGAAGTCGTTAGAGTGAAAAAAGTATTGATAAAAAGTAATAATAAAATTAAATAAAAAAGTATACAAAATATATTTCCATAAGTCTTTAAGGTCAACAATCCATAATAAATATATACTGCAAAGATTGTTAAATGGAATATTGAACTGAATTTACTGAATCCTAACATGGCAGAATTTTAATATAAATTCAAAAAACTGGGAATAAAACAGATACTCAATGATGCAAATACAAGCTCGTTGTATTTGTATTTGAATACAACAATTGGTAACAGGTGCCAGGACATGGCGGAGAAACACAGACGAACAGGATTGCTTATAATAAATCGCAATTAGAATTGAAAACTGAAGACCTAATAATAAATTTAGAAAGCTGTGAGGAATGACGATTCGCACAGCTCAAAAGCTTAAAGCGAAAAACTCGTAGAAAAATAGAAAATCATTTATTATTTCATGAAAGCAGAAATAAAAAAATTCCTGCTAACAGGATGAAAAAATTCCATTAGCATGAAACTTAATTCAGTTTGAATTCAATTGTTTTTGAGCGTATCTGCAGATGTTTTCCAGCTTAGTTCATTCAGTTGATATTTCCGATTGTCTACAGAGTACTGTGAATCCGTATTGTTTAGACGTCGTATAGTTTGGTTTAATGCTGAATAAACATAAATTCTAAATGCGGTGGTCCTCATTTGTACGATTTAGTATCCAAAACAATTATGCAAATCAAAACGCTTCGGTGAGTTACTACTTCCCGGATAGTTGTAGGCGGTATAAAATAATTGGCAATACCAAATAATCGAATGTACAAATGCTGGATGTATACATACATATTCTTATATGTATAAGGAAATGTGAGATATTTTCCGGAATTGTAAATAATATTGGAAACATATCTGTTGAAGTTAATTAAAATGGATTTTGATAACAACGAAACAGAGAAATGCGAATAATTACTATTATTAATAGTAAATCTAGATGTAGAAAATAATAAATAATAAATTAAATTATTTAATGTTATTTACACATATATATGTATGAATTTTAAGAACAATAGATAATGTGATTTGTGAAGGATATTACTACTATTTAATTCATTAATATATCAACAATTATTTAAATATCTATGACTACTTTTTTCAAACTGGCGTTAAGAGTGAAATAATGGCATATTATCAATTTAATATTATTTATTATTATTTATACGTTTTACTTTCATTAATTCGTTAGCCTAATAAATACTTGATATATTTTTTTTAATTAATAAAAATTTGTCAATTGTATATCATCATTTGAATTAGTCAAATAACAATTTTGTTTAATGCATAGTAAATCTAATTTAATGACTGATTAATATTCATAAGATATACACTGAATTTCTTATCTTGATTATTTCTTTTAAGAATTCATAATTCAATTAATTTAAACATAATCCACTTAACATTGATTTGCATTAAAATTAACTTTTCCTTACGGATGTCAATTAAAAAGTTAATAAGGTTTTTCAATCGGTATTACTGATATTTGAAAGTGTACTATACTCATGTATCAAAAAGTATATCAAATTAAAAAGTTTATGAAATTGTTTCGGTTTGCTAAACAGTTTCGATATTTACTAAAATATAGGGTGTATAAGAGACCTCTACCTGAGAAAAATATGCAATCAAAAATCCATTAATAGTTTAAAAGCGAATAACTTTAATTTATATAAATTTTTATTAATATTTATTAATCCTTGTATATAAATTAGTTCAAAAATTATATTGATTCAAAACTGAAAATTATTAATCATTTTCACGGAAAAAGTGATTTTTCTCAATATTTTTGTCAATTTTTTTTTAGTCCATTAATAATTTTTTAATTTTACAACATTTCTACCCAAAGACTTTTTCTTTCGTTATGCATCATATATATGAAATCACCTTTTCAAGAAAATTAGTTACAACCAACTTTTGATTTTTAGTTTTTTAACAAAACTACAAAAATTTATTAATTAGTTCCCATATGCACTAGAAAATTTCTGTTTTTGTTAAAAATTCTTTACATATAATAATAAATTTAACAAAAATAAAATATATATGTGACAGAAAGATATATACCCACTGGAACGACTAGATAATTGCCGACGACTATACTTTCGAAGCTGAGAATACCTTCATATATTTTCGAGCTGCCAATAGTAACAGTAACGATATCTGTCTAGACTTCAGATAACGAACTACAATTATCGGATTTCGCTACTATTACCTCAGGGAATAACTGAGCTATCTTTGCAAAAGCTTTATATGTTATTCATTCTATTTGTGCTTCTCTAAATAAATAAGCATAGATACTCATGCAGTATGATAAATGTCAATGTCACGAAATTGAGATTATTTTGATGCTCTCAAGCATATGCACTCAAAGAGTTTAACCGAAGAAAAAGACGTGGAAAAAAATTGTTTTTCTCGTAAAATGATCAAGTTGAGGAAGGATTAATTGCATTAGGTAAGATACACTGTAAATAAGAGCGTTTAGTAATCGGCATCGGGTTGTTAGAAGTACCAAGTAATTATTATTTAAAGTAAATATGTATTAATTTATATATTTTAAATTTATTCTAACTTTGATGACAAAATGTCTGTCACATTAAAGACATACTCACCTCTGTATCATATAAAATACTTCCATACATCTATTTAGAATAATCTATATACAGATACTGAAGTATATTATGCCTATTCTAAATGTAGTACAATATTAGAAAATATGTAAAATATCTAAATACAAAATTAAGTCAAAAATAGAAAGAAAACCTGACAGCAAATAAGTTTTAATCATGAAAATGAAAACAATACGTGCAAATTAATGTTGTTTACGAAGAACAACGATAATACAAACAAAAAGAATAATTATGATGACAACAACAGCTGCTCCAGCTCTATTTATTACAGTTTAAACAATGTTAAAGTTCATTGCTGCTGTTACAGCTGCTTCTGCTTCTGCTACTGTCGCTGTTACTGCACACTTTTACTGTGACCAAATTTTAGCTTAATTGTTGTTGGTTGTTGGTTTGTGCTACTGCCGCCATTTTGCTATTTGTTAACTTTGTGTCAACTTGCTTTTTCAATTTCTTCTAAGTTGAAAAATTAAACGCAGCAATGCTAAGACAGCAAAACTTTTGCAGCGTTACCAGCTTAAACCTGCCCCCACAAATAAGGTCAAATTGTAGTAACTGGAATTACTTTTCTAACATTTTGGAGTTACGCTTAATAAGTTGCCTAACATTAATTATGAATTATTTGCACTTGTTTCGCTACAGTTGCATTATATATTTTAAATTTATTTGGAATTAATTTAGAGTTTAATAAAAAATTTTGTGCTTGATTCACCTTCAGCTCACTTATTACAAATTCAAAGTACAAAAAATTATAATTTGTTTAAATCATGTATGAGGAATGAGATTACTTTTGATATAAACTTATTAAGTACTTAATTGCATGCAAATATTTTATAAATAAAAAGCAATTTTAAAATATCTTGCATGAAAGATCACGCATCTAAAGTAGTTTAAAAATGTTTTGAATTGCATTTCAAATAAAATAACATTTGGAGATTGCCTATTTTTATTATTAATTTATTACATTATTTATATCGTAAACTTTTAAAAATAAAAAACTTTTTATATAGTTTTATATTTCTTTTTATAGTCCTTTCCTACATAAAATATAGAATTGCCAACCTTTAGAGAACACGAACATTTTTAATCTGAGTGCTTATATTGAATATTATCATGCATTAAATCGAAATATTACGATATAAATTACACAATTCAATGAATTTTACAACATCATTACAACAGATAATATAATGAACATCATACTACACTTACCTATTATTAACAGTGCTTTAGGTGAGCAGACTGATATTTATAATATTACTTTAGTCAAAAACATAGAAACATGTTTTTGTTTCTATGTTTTTGCTTTCGTTCCGCCAGTATTGTAGCAGAATACTTTTCTTTTCTTTTTCTTGAGGAAAAGTGTATACCAAAGCATATAAATAGTAATTTTTTAAGCTATAGTTCAATGTTTTATTTATGATATTATATAGGAATACATAGCATTTAAAAATGAAATCATTACGTGAACAAACATTTTTTATAATAATAAATACATTATTAATACATTTTTTCCATGTTTGTTTAACTTAATAAAGTTTTTAAGAATTATATTCGTTAATCTTACTTATATATAAAGTTCACGAATAGTTGGGCGAAATTTTATTATATAAAGAATAAGTTTTTTCATGCAAATTAAAAACAATTCAACACAAATATATATAGACAAAACACATTTTGGAACATAGAAAATTCAAGTCTCATTTGAGCCACATTTAATTTATATATAAATTATACCTCGATCAAATCTGGTTTTTTCATGCAAATTAATAATTTAAAGTAAAATATTACTTTTGATCTGGGCAAGCCATTTGGTATAAGAATTGAATTATAGTACGTGTGGGACGTCCAGTCATCCGATATCTTAATAAATATGGAAGTGTACCATATCTTGTTAACATACCTACACCCCTTATATCAATATGAGCCCAATCAATACATGGAACTAGTTCCTTAAAATATAAAATTATTACTCATTTAGCAAATTTTTATCGTTCTAAATTACATGTAAGATTGCAGCTGCTAAACACGATGAAGCTGGTCCTTTACCATTATTACTAAGATCAAAACCCGGATTATCTATTAAAATAATTTATATAAACAGATAACATTATAAGAAGTATATATAAAATCACTTACCAGTTACAAGGTGTTTAAAATAGTTCCATAGTGGTAATCGCCACATACGATCACCAGAAATTTGACCAGCTTTTCTTAAACTCTTCCAAACAGAATTAGAATTGGTAAACACTCCTGCCGCACTACCGCCTAAACCTTTTACAACACCTAAGCCTAGTGTTGCAATATCAACAATCAAACGTGGTTTATAAGTAACTTGAGCATAAAGCAAAGGATCAGCCATAACCACCACACCTGCTTTGTCGGGATCCTAAATTGATATTTAAAAGATTATTAAATATAAACATTATGAAACTTATTTTCGATAAGTACATACACGAACTGCTAATGTTTTCCCATTCAAAAGTTTTACAACGTCACCCGGTTTGACAGCCATACCTGATGGCATATTTTCACAAAGTGGTATGACACCTGTAACATTTACCGGCAATGATAGAGCAGCAGCTGCTCGTATCGTTGCAACAACAACTGCTGCACCAGCCATGGCTGCACGATATTCATCCATACCACGTGCGTCACGTAAACACAAACCACCGCTAAATAAAAAAATAACATTTTAAATTAATGAAATAGTTTTAAACTATAGTTGATTTACCTATTAAAAGTTATTCCCTTGCCTAGTAAAAGAAGCGGTTTGTCTTCGGGTGATGTACCGCAGTAGCTAACTTCGAGCAAAACGGGTGGTTCGCAGGAACCTTTAGCAACCATAAGAAATGAATTTAAATGATAATGTTCAATCCAATCCATGGAACGGATTTCGACTGTTACACCGCATGGGCACAGTGCATCTACAGCTGCTTGTGCGAACGAAGTGGGTGTCATTTGATTAGCGGGTGTATCACTTAAACGACGCGCAAGATTTTGTGCTTCTGCTTTAAATAAACCACGAGTCCACGCATCCACATCTGGAGAATCATATAATTCCAATTTGGGAGTTTTGGTACGTTTTTTTTTCATTTTATTTTCATGATATCTCCAAATTGCCATTGCCGCACCTTCAGCGGCTTGCTCTGGATACTCCATTGAATCTACATATACTTCAGTGCAACATGCCATTTGTAAACTGCGCGCACCCACTCCAGCTGCAACGCGAACATTTTCCTATAAGATATATTATATAATAAGTAATAATAAATCGGAGTTGATAAGGTCAAAATTCGTTCCAAATATAAAAGAATAACCGAGGCTATCTGTACCTCATTATTTAGGCAAAGCAATATCGTCCAGCAAGAAATGTCTGAATTTGCGCCCTTCAGGAGCAAATTACTACAGTTTTAATACATTTGAAAGAAAAAATGTCAGGAAGCAACAAACCCTATATTATAAACTGATAATAATCTAACTATTACACTTTCCGAGACGTATAATTTTGTAAGTACCGTTAGCAGTTATTATAAGAATATATAATCAACATTTTTGCAGCCTGAGTTTTTTCTTGTTGGTTATTTTTGAAAGTGAGCACATCTACATTTCCTTTTAAATTTAGACATATCCGAAAAGAACCAAAAAGTAGTAAAAATACGAAATTGGCAATATTGATGTGACACTCTACATAACATGAATTTTCGTTATACCCCGAAAGAGCCAATTTTGCAACCCACGCCTTAGGAACACAAAACCATCAAAACTTAAGCATGGCCTAATCAGAAGCGCACATCATTGTGTGGCTAAATCCGCTACGTTCATCACCCGTCGTGCATGCTCTAGTCGGTTACACTGAACCATACTTAAACATGATTAAATCGGTAACCCTCATGTTGAATTCTATGTGACCCAATCTGCAGAATAAATAATGCTTGTTTACAATATGTGTACGAAGAAGTAATAACAACAACAATAAAGAACAATTCCTAAATCGTATATATAGTACATATACTATCTATTATATTTTTTTATATATGGTACATATATCATATATGTCAACCTAATAAATTTAAATAAGTAGCCACTTTATTGAATAATTGCTTGTTTTTATTCATTACTTATGATCTCGTTTGTACTTGCTTTAAGATACGAACACTCCATCATTCGAAATCCTCTTATTTGCTTGCTTTATGCGTACAACAGAAATAACCACAGCTTCAAAATTTCTCAAAACTCAACCAATATTTTTCTGACTCTTTAAATGGCACCGATAATACTTAAAATACTGTTATTTGCGTAATCATACAAGTCAATGTTTACTATTTTTATATTTAAAACTAAATGTCAAAATGGTTTAAAAAAATAAAAAAATACTCTCTTCGGAAATAGTTTCTATGCCACTTACCATGCCTTCGTCGATGTCCTCCATTTCGTTAAAACCAACGTTTTCATAACCAATTCCAATAACTGCTATGGAACGGTATTCCGGATCTACATTATTAAACACTTTCCCTTTACCCAAAGCACCTGTAATATGAGTTCTAATAGAAGTTATAATTAGTGTTCAAAGGTTTGATTCAAATTTTGATTACTCACTCCTTAATGAGATCCGTAAGTTTTCCAGATGTTCGATCGTCAAATTTCTCTCCGCTAACCGTCAGTTTTGGGGGCTTATCTCCGTCTACTTGATAAACACCAAGTACAATACCTTTCTAAAAAAAATTCAATGTTTCAATTATCTAAATAGCGTTTTTTTAGTGGAGCTTTATACCCACCACTCTCTTTTTTTCACTACTGAAGAAACGTTTTACAACTGATAAATTTTTAGGATAGCGTAGAATTTGATGATAACGTCTAATAGGATACTTTAATGTACGAAAAAAACGCATTGACTCCATAATTTTGAAAAAAACTTTTTATTTTGAAAAGTTTTCCAAAAAAAAAAACCAATGAATTTTTGTTATGAAAAATTTTGAATATTTTTTTGATTGTATTTTACATTAACAAAAATTTGAAACAACCAGATTCGATCCAAAAAAAATATGAAAGTTTAAATTTTTAATTTGACTTATTAAAAATTCACGCATACTTGATGAAATTTCTTCATATATTGTGAGAAACGTTGACATTTTTTTTATAAATTTTAAAACAATATTTCAAATGTCAGTGTGTGAGAAAATATTATTCTTATTAGTTATTATCTTATGCATTACTACTATAAGGATTTCAAAATTTCTGAATAGGTTTTCCAGTGATTTCTGTTACGTGCCATTGACCGCATTGAATAAAAATTTAAGACTCAGATAAGACAATTGACATCATGTTGTTTCATTGATACTTTTGATAGGAAGAAAATATTAATTCTCTTGAAAAGAATTACATTTTGCACTATTTTGAAAGCAGTTAATGCTCTCAACCTACATAATTAGTCCTTTATGCCCTTTGTTATCAGAAAAGACACAATTTCCATACAACATTTAAATACTAAATTGTAATATGCTTCGGCATGAAAGGGTCAACTTACAAAATCGACCAAACCATTTTATATACTCTGCAGTTTCAACAGACCAGAATAAAAACCAACAGGGTACCAGCTCCCAACGGAGCGGAGCACTGCGACCATGGTTGATCTTTTCTGCTGAACAGACCAGAAAGTATTTAGCACTATATATAAATATATAGTATAGTAATTCAAATGAGCAGTAATTCAAATGACCTCATTTAATTTTAATTTATAGATTGGTAGACTGACTATAAATAACGTCAGTATATTACTACATTGGTCGTAATTTTTTCTTTCAGAGTTGTAAAAAACAGCATTAAGTCTGGTTGAAACAAATTGGTATCACTTTTTAAATATGTTAAATGCTTGTTTTTGACATATGTTTTCTGTTGTGTTGTATACACACATTTGTAAACACTAAAAATTAATTAATTTAAATAAAAAAAAAAATAAAATGAATATTATAATGGCAAAGGTATAAGTATTTTTATCTTATATACTTAAATTTATTAATTTATTTATGTATCGTATTATGTATTTATTTATGACTGGAATTTTACAACATATTTCCAGTGAACATTCACAATAGACTGATTTTTGAATTTGGCTGTAGTGAAACTACAGATTTAAAAATTTATGCTAGTAAAACATAACTCTGAAGATTTTGAGAGCATTGTTGTTGCTTTACATGTTTTCTTGCATAAGATGCGAGTATTTTTTTGATACTCTGAAAGAAAAAATTATGGCTATTATCAATGGATTAAGAATCAGTTTATTAAATCAATAATAATATACTCATATATAGTAATTTCTATATATTCTTAATGTTTTATATATTTAATACATATAATGAGTCAATTTTTTAGTTTCAATCAATATTTTGTTCTATATATGTTCAAATATATTTAGCTTACCCGATCAACTATATGTAAAATAACAATTAAAAAACAAACATTTTGTTTTTATAAGCAAATTATTTCTTTATAAATATTTAATCTTAAGCATTCTACAAATTATAAATTATAAAATTGTATTTCCCTCAATAATTACTTTCAAAATATTCTCTACGTTTAATTTAAGCATTCTTGTCAATTATGAGCTCAACTGTGCGTCAAATGTATTTGTACTAGAACTCGTAAGTTTGGACATCTGCAGAAGCAAGGAGTGTGGGTGCATATTTTCAAGAGCATTTAGTGGTTTCTTAAGTACAGCAAAAGTTTGTAATTTCACAATTTCAAAATCGTTTTACTTTTGAGTTTTGGCCAGAGTATATAAATCATTACTTGCGACAATATTTATGTCCTCGGTTTCCTTTTATGTACGAGTTTAGTTTCAATTTTCACGTCATTTGCTTTTATTACGAAAAGTTTACCCCTTCGCAAGGGCAAATTTTCGTCGTTAATTTTCCCTAATTTCACGCCATTTGCACAAATAATAATTTTAAATTTTCACTTTACATTGCTTAAGAAGATTTTTAAGAATTTTATTAATTACTTCAAAAAAGTTTTCCAAACGGAGCAGGGCCAAACGGAGTTGAAGTAACAGAATTTGAAATTGACGAAAGACAAATTTTAATGAATTTAATGCTTAAATATTTGGCATAAAATATTTTTTGAATTTTTAAACTTTTTCCCAAATTACAGATATTTACACGAAAAATAATTTCAAGATATTTTAAAGTTCTTCCTAATTAACTTATTTTTCCTTTTTTCTTTTCAAAAGCAATTTAAGGATGCTATGGTTATTTGCATTTTCTCTCTTCGTACAGTACGAATGGGAAGTTATCTATTTTTACTGAAAAATTTCTTGTATATTTAGGAACATTTTTTTCCTTCACAACATTCAACAACATTCAACTTTTGCGAATAGTGCTCCTTCTGCAGCAGCAATATGCATTATTACACTTTTTCCATGAGACGTATTTGTTGCAAGCAACTACGGAATATGAAAATAATTTGAGACTCACTCGTGCATTTGAAACGTGTTGGCAACTTCATTGTTTTAGCTGGCAACTATGTATTTTAAATTGTGGGCAACTCCTGGTCGTTTAGGAGATTTGGGGGAGTGCGTGTGTCTTTAGTCTCTATGAAAGTTGATTGCAAAAACTAAAATGTACTGTAACTTCTGTTATTGTCGTTGATTTTTTTTTTATTTCTAATCCATTTCCATTGCTATCGAAACAGAAATCAGGTATCAAAAAGTGTTTGAAGGTATATTTGAAGGATTTCAGACCAATGTTGTGCCGTCGAGTAGTTCAATTGAAATAAGAGAATCCAATAACAGATGTGCTATGTTGAAATATTTCTACAGTAGGGAATATTTTCAATATTAGTGTAGCATTTTTTATATGCTTTAATGCCTTGAAGCGATACCAAGAACTTTTTTCAGCTTAGTAGCTCTGGTGGAGCTTAACAGGATAGAGCAAATTTTGAGAATTTTTTGTTCTGTCATCTACATATGAGTGGTCATATTGAGTTGCGTTTATAATTCAAACAAAAAACAGTTTTACCTGGAGGTTTATACATAAATAAAACAACAATTAAGCAAACGTATGTATTAATGAATTTTGAAGAATCGAAATACAGGAAAATGAAATGCTTTTAACGTTGCCAAGTCACTTCTGAATATAGTATCGAATATTAATTTATTATTTATGTTTTCCAAAGAAACCAATAATAAGTATATTGTTTATATGTGATAACTAGAAGGCATCATATTTAATGATAAATCTGACATTAATATATGGTACTGCAAGGCCATTCATCTATAATATATATAATTATAAAAGACATATATTGCATTCTTGATTATCATTTATCAGCTTTTTTATTAATTATTTATTCTTAATTAAATATTAAGTTTTATTAATTAAAATATTGCATGGTTGGTTAGTTGGTTGCAGTGGCAGACCATAAGATAACTTCCATGTACCTCAATTAGCGATTTTTCGCCGTTTTACTACTACAGTCCACGCAAAGAACCCTAGTATAAAAGAGTAGAGATTAAATCCATCCCGGCGAAATTACTTAATTTAATAACTCTTTCGTCTTGACCGATAAACAGTCTGATAAACTATGAAAGAAGTATCTTCCTAAGAATCTATGTATATCGTCTGAACGCCAAAGCCGGGCATTCACAGGGAATATTGCCTATTCTATACTTTTTCATGCTATACATGCTTTCCATTGATTATTTCTAAAATATTTTGTGAAAAACTATTTTAAGTAAAGTTTTATTAAGTTGTAAAAACTGTAGTTGAGTCTAAAAACTTATAAAGTGTGCTTCCTTAAACATTATAATAAAGAAAATTATTCATTTAATAAAAAAATTGTATACAATTATATTATTTACCTATATTAGGATATCACATCATATTTCAAAGCATCTCAATATAAATACATAAGAACAAATTGTTTGAATTTATATTCACATCACGTTTAAATTTAATTACCTTAAGTTACCTTCTCCAACAATTTTACGGTACGCGCATACTTCTTCAGAGTGCAAATGAACGATAATATACGTGGAGAGGTTGAAAAGCTTAATATTACTATTAGTACTGAAACTACAAGCTTATCATGACTCAATAAAAGTAAAAAATATTCCCAATATAAAATAAATTTATGTTCATTTTAATGATTTGGCTACACATTCTACGTGTCTCTATTATTATTTGCAACTATTTGTTAGTCTGCAATATCTCACTTAACAAGGTGAAGCCCAGGACTACTTTTTATGTGCAAATTGGTCAAAATGCACTATTCATTTTTTATTATTTGCCATTTTCCGTTTTTCTATTCAAAGATAATAAATATAGCAACTGAACGTAGTTGATGATTCTATTCTCAAAATTTAACATCGCGTTTTTTCCATTTTTTTATAGAAAAATTTAATTAAAGATATTATTTTTATAAGGAAGAATAAAGGTAACAAAGAAAAACTATAGAGATACTTTTCAACCAATAAAATTATTATTTTAAGAAACTTAAATCAGTAGATTAAATACAGAGCATCGAACCGGAACCGAACCGAAAACCGGAAAAAACCGATAACCGATATATATTTTTTTTGTTTTGAACCGGAACGAAAAAAATTCCGGTGCTATGCCCTGATTAAATATCTTCAGTTATGGCACCTCATAATTATTCTCCTTAATTATTTAATAACTATTCTCATTAATAAATATCGATTTTAACTTATGAATGGAACATTATTTTCAAAATTATTACATACAAAATCTATTCGAAATTTAATCATACTTAAGAGACTAATTAAGGAACTGCATTAAAATGTTAGAATTGATGTTAATGAGTTTAAATTTCCAGGAATTCATTGTTATTAACACCTACACGTGTAGATAACTTACACTTAGGGTTTTCATGAGTATCATAAGTGCAAAGAAAAACGAACAAATGTCGTTCATTTGTCCACTTGTTGGTTGGGGTTAT